AGTGGCAAAATTTGGACCAAGTGATCTATTATATACTTGAGCCATGAGGGGGGGTTGGCCACGTCTTGAGGATGTGGCTTCTTCTATGTGCCACACTTGTTGCTCAATGAACCATCTTGTGATGTACTAATTTTATAAAAACAAGATTTGCCGCTCGTCTCCCTGAAAAACCTAGCAACCATTTTTGCCGCTCGTCTCCCTCAATTGCTGCTCGCCATTAGCCTTCCCCGGTAGGGCACTTTGAGCGCTCGGCGGCTGCTCTTCTGGCCCTGCGATTCGCGTCCGAGAGCTGCGACGTTGGAGAGGGCTTTTTCGCCGGGGAGAAGCTTGCGTCGTTTTCGGTCCGTTGCCGGAAGCGAAGGCGGGCGTTTCTCCTCCGGTATCTCCGTTGTGGCGGCTCCATCGCTCTCTCGGTGCGAATTGCAACCTTAATTTCCCATTTTGGGGTTTGGGGGGAGATAGGGTTCCGGTCTTGTGGCTCCTTCTGGTCCGGGTGCAGAGCTTCGTTGCCTCGGTGGTCTCCGATTCTTGGGTGGGTGCCGATCCTTAGCCTTGTGGTCGCCGGTTGGGTGAGTGTGATGCTCTGGTGTCGCGGTCGCTGATATTGGATGGTGGGGCTCTGTGCTTGTTGGGCTGGGTCGGGCTTGGCGGGCTGGTTTAGTTCGGGTTGGGCTGTTGAGGCTTGAGCTGCAATGGGCTGGGCTGAGCCGGATCAGTCGTGGCTGGGCTCGGCCGAGTTGGGTTGGACCGGGCTGGTTGGACTGGATATTTTGTCTCCGGGTGTCTGAGGAGTTGTTCGGCTGGACGAAGGATAGGTCCGTTGGTTCTCGACTTAGTTAGGCATTTCTCGCAGTTTCTGGGTCGGGATCCTGTACTTAAACTTTGCCGTTGTTGTGCTCATTGTGGGTTTCGGCTGGGGAAGGGCCATGTTTTTATTTTTGTTTTCGGTGTCGTTGTTGGTGTTGTTTGTTTGAGTCTGTGTTAGATTAGTGTTTTTTGTCTGGGCTCTTTGCCTTAGTGTTCTATGTATGGTCTTTTTGGTCTGGGCCGTTGGCCCCTGTGGTGATTACCCCGTTGGGGGTTGTGTTATTACTCCGATGGGAGGCGTTACATTACCCTATTGGGGGTCTTGCGTGTTAGGGTCTTTGTTTTGTGTTTTTGGTTTTGGTGGTGCTTTGGTCTCATAGTTGTGCCTATGCCTTTAGTGCCTTGTTGTGTGTTCTAGGCCACCGAGTGGGAGTGGTTCTCTGGTTTGTATTACAGCTAGTGGGTTGTCCGGTTGTAATCTCTCTTTTGGTTTGAGTTATATTATTGTGATCGTTTGGAAAAAAAAAAAAATATACATTTTTTTTAAAATAAAAATAAAAATTAATGTATATGTTTTTATTGTAAATATTTATGATAATATATAAAGAGTTTGAAATATTTATTTTTTCTTCTTAATTATATTCGTTATTTTTTGATTGACATTCACAAAAAATAGTTACATAAATTTTTAAAATTTTACTAACATTAATTATCCAATTTTTTAATTGTTCCCATAACTCAATGACACACACTTTCTCATCGTGAGCTCATAAAATAATACTAATACTATGGAAGGTTCTGTTTGGTGTTATTCAATAATTGAAGATAAGCATTTATTTGTTAATGAAAACTTATGCCGAAGATCCGTAACAAGTAGAAAAGCTGATGCATGAAAACACTACAAAACAGTTCATTTTTCAGCTAAAAGATAAAAATCTCCTTTATTTTATTCATTTATTTATTTATTTATTTATTTTTAAATGTTTCCAATCACTCCCGTTATTTAATGCCCATCCACCGGACATGCAATAAAAGCCCACTATTACGTTTACATCTAAAAGCCAATTTCATCTGCACTAAAAATAGAAAAGAATAATATATTTGGTAAAACTAGTTGATAAGCTAACTTTTAGCTTATCAGTAATTTTCGAGCCTTATAACTTATAGCTGAAAAAACTAGTTTATATGATAAAAGTATTTGGTAAAATTAACTGATAAGCTACCCAGAATAAAAAAAAATAAAAAATCAACTAGCTTATTTGAAAAGCTACCTAAAGAAATTTATCAATAAGCTCGAGTTTTCTAAAATAGCATGTCCTACCAAACAAGACTTATTTGAATACAGAGAGTTTATAAGCTAATCAAATAAATTATAAACTAACTTATTTGTCTACTAAACATAGTTTAAATATCAAATTTTTAATTTTTTATTCACTCCAAGGTTAGAAGGTAAATGAAGAATAATGATGATGATCCTTAATCTTAAAGATAAGATATAAAATAGTCAACTCCACTCACCTTCTTGTATTTTTTATTTTTATTTTTTTTATTTTTTTTTCCTCTTTTGGGGTGTGATTGAATAGATAGAAACCGCATATCAATTGTGAAGAAAATAATTAACAACAGTAATTAACTTTTTTAACAAGCATTTAAAGTAATCAATTCTCCCACTTGATTCAAGTTCCTTCCCTAATCAGCTGACCCACCACCATACAAATTTACACACAATCTTTTACCCAAATCTCACCTAAAGTTCTGTCTCTCACTATTTTTTCACAAGTATCCAAAGTTCCAATAGCATTAGATATGATAACAAAATAAACACAAGTTAGGACAACAAATGAACTATTCAACAAGCAAGAACAGATTACAGAGAAAACCCACAAGCATCGATTCGTTAGGCCGGCCACAACTGAACATGGTCGGTTATTATAAAGGTTAAAGCTAATTTGACGTTGGTGCTTTTCATGGAGTAAAATGCCAATAAGAACATGCCAGCAAGCAGAGTTTGCACTAATTTTGTCATATAACAGAACAAGTTTAAAAGGTAAAAATAACATACATCTCTTAAGAAGGCACAACCGTTAAATGTATAAGGCAATTTACGAACGCTCACCAAAACAAACTGGTTTGTTCTTTAGCTAAACTCTCCACCAAAAGCACAACAGCAGCAACAATGCACCATTTATATATCTCGTCCATGTCAAATGAGAGAATCATGCTGCTTGTCTCAAACGAGGTTGCAATGCAAGTAGAATCTTCTTTCTGGGCCCCTGCACAAAAAGATTATTAGATTTTTTTTTTTCCATTTTTTTTTCTGGGAACTACTGGTAGTTCACAGGAAGGAACATAAGCTGCACAACTGTAGAGTAATTTCATGATCTAAAAGTTCACATAAAAAGCACTTCAAGGTTCCATAAATCTTCAGTGCAAGAAAAGAGGACCGATTAAGGGGTAGTACCATAGGGATTCCCAACTCTTTAAGATCCCTCTCAGCCATTCGCTTCAAAGAATACATATCAACCTGCATAATGAATTAAACTTAATTAATCGTGAGATACACCGATTTTCATGATTTAATGAAGCAGATTGTTTCATCGAGACCACAGTTTAAGAAATCAAGCAGAAGGGGATATACACTTCCAAGAGATGGAAAGTCATAAAATGCCTAAAATAAACATGTATGTCATACTCAGCAAGTCACATAAAATACTGAGTAATTTCACAAGTTCAATAGAAGCCCCTTCATTCAAGCATTGTTTTACCCAAAAAAAAAAAAAAAAGCGCATGTTCTTTCAAATACTTCCATGTATAAAATAATTTAACCTTCTTAGAGATAGATGGTCCACTCATGAACTATGCAACAAAGACAAAATTAGCATTGGATCACAAAATTTACGTACTTCTTCAGCCTTAAAGAGAATAGAATATTTTTCTAGACCCAATGAACGCAAAAAGCTGTCCACAGTAACTTGATCGTCCACCTGCAAGCATAATAAAACCACAAAATTTTGTAAAAGAGCTAATCTTTCATAAAAACATGAATGCCCTGAAAACCTAACAAAACTATAAAATTTGGTAAAAATTGTTTTTTGTAAAACATACATGATCAAAAGAATCATAATGCCATTTTGTTACATTGAGAACATCCAATATAAGTGATAAGAATTTTGAGATAGTAATTAATACTGATCACGCTTTATTGAAAATGTAGAATAGGCCTGCAAGTCTCATCTAGTATGATCCATTGATCCCACGACATAGCTATCACCCCTCTATGTCGCCAATATCAAAACGAAATGCTAGTCATTTCTTACCTAGCATATGCAGTTACCTTAACAACTGAAGATAAATTGTTACGTGAATTTAATAAATAGTTTCTCAAGGTACATCCGAAAGTTTCAATTGATTTTGGAGCCAAATAGAGCATCTCATATAATACACACAAAGCATGCATAGATTGGTCTAGACAAGGTATACAAATTTCAAAGGACATGAATCATCAATAACACTGATACATCACACTAATTCAGAACATCATATTTGAGATTTAGGCACTTAATTTCCCATCAACATTTACCCCCATCACATTCTAGCAGCCTCTATGTATGCTAGCAATTCTAAACCTATTATGCTATGGCAAGAAAATGGATTTTCACAAACTATCACAGTATTATGTGTGCAGCAACAAACGTAAATAACTCAAATGAGCAAAGAGGACAAAAACTTCAGTATCTGACAGACCATAAATGGACTCCTTTGAGTGAGATTCCGAGGCTGAGGTAGTTGGGCCGACACTGGTGCACCAGTCTTCATCTGTCCAACAGGTGAAGCATCCTTATTAATGCATGTGCTCATCCTAACATCATCATGTGCCCTAACTGCCAGTTTTTCTTGCAGTATATCACGTCTATTTGGTGCTACAGGACCTCTAGAAGTTGCCAGGGACTCATCAGGTGATCTTTGCCTCAAACGTTCCAAAGTCCATGGAGAATGCTTACTCATGACTGAATCCATTCTGGTTAAAGGAATCGATGCCCTCTGTTGGGGCAGAGGATGCCCAAAATCTTTTTTCACAAGAATGGTTTGTCCAAGTTCCCTGGGTTCTAACATGTGCTGTTTCCTAGGATCAGGTGCCCGAATCTCGGATACATGCAAGCTTGGATGCCGTGCCATAGGAATTAAAGGTCCACGGTGTCTGGTTTCTTTGAGGAGCTGGCCGTCACTTGTAGGTTCTGGATATCGAGGTCTTGTGTCCTTTGGCTCGGGCATCCTGTCCCTTGTAGTTACACTATTTGTGGAAGATTGAGCGGGCCTTGACAGAATATTGCGAAGATCCGGCACATTGGGCTGGCTGCTTTGACTTTGCTTCAACAGACTCTTTTGCATAATTTTGAAACGGAGGTCACCTTTACGGAGGTAGGTGTCTGTTGTTCAATTAATATCACCAAAACGCAAAAGTTATGACAATAATTTATAAGAAAGAATGAAGATTTTGCAATGTAGAATGATTGATACCATCAACAGCATTGCCAGTTCTATCATCATTGCGTAGTCTGCAAAACGCGAAAATGTATAAATTAAAGGCTATTTTCACCAACAAACCAGATCCAGGGGGATTACAAATACATGCAGCTCATCAGTGTCATGATTAATTCATTTCCGTGAATAGTTGCATGAGCCTGAATAATGTCAGATACCTAGGTGAGTTAAAGCAGCTCATATTCTGCCTAGGTACCTCAGAAAAGTAATCAACAACTCAGTGTAAGCAGAAAATAATGTATACAACTTTGGGATAGTATATGCTGTTTTTTGCATCATTGAATAAATAACATTTTTTCCACTCTATTTGACAAATGTCACAACTAAACCCTTAGTTTAGCCTCTTATACACTGAACCCAACATTGTGTAAACTATACGGTAAATTTCAGACGCATATCATGCATTGCAAACCAGGACCAGCAACACCACCACATAGAACAATTCTGTGAATTAATGCCAACTAGATGATTACAATTGCGCACATTGTGAAGTCAATTAAAATCAATAAAGCATGTAGTGCATCTAATACCAACCCCTTTCACCTTTTACGTCAGAAGAATTCACGGTATGCTTACAAAGTATAAAGGTGATGCACAAGTAAGAAAAATTCCAACCACAAAACCCTTGTGCGAAGAGAATTTAACCGAAACTCTTTTCCTCATCTCCTATGTGCACTTTGGGCCATGTCCACGTTATTATAATATAAGCAAATTAAAAGGTTGTTACATATACCAGATCAAATCTCTGAGTAAAAGGTTAGCATATTACTTAGGTAAGAGTAGTTCAGCTATTTCCAATACATAAAACACTATACCGTAATGAGAAAGGACACAAGGAACAAAGCGAAAAAACCTCTTATAGTTGAAATCGGCATATTGATCACCATTGTTTCCAAGTCTTTCCTGAACTGGTCTCTTTCTTCCTACAAGTGGAGGTGACTCCATAAAAGGAGTATGCATTGAACTTCCATCTCTTTTTACCACCTATAGATGATATTCACTTCAGTAACAATAAAAGGGGCACTACCATTTTTAAAGACTACGCACAATGTTAGTAGACACTGTAGTTGCCCCATCCCGACCCCCACAACACAAACACAAAGAAAATCAAGATAAGTTGGAATCAAGAAGATAATTATAATTATCAAGAAAGCTGAGCAATCAATCCATTGATTATCATTTTGTTACCACGGCATAAAATCAATCCCTTTAACGACGACCACGGGCTCTCACATGAAAAATTCTTCACCAAATAGATAAATTCTAAAACCCCAGACAAAAAGTGTAAGAAATTAAGAACGTGAAAAAACACGAGATCACCTGCCCTGAGCCGCCGAGGGTAATGGTTACTCGAGACCGCGAAGTTCCCGACATTTAATCTTCGAAAATCGAAACCTACCAGGTCGATTAGAGAATAAAGAACGAAGCTTACTAAGAAAAACCTTCAGCTAAATGTAAAAATTCACACATTAGGGTTTCATCACGAGTGCTATTCTGTCAACAGATGCTGAATGAACGTTTTTGTTCGTGGTGTTGAATCAGTGACGTATAATCGCCATATTAATGGCGAACAACAATAATAATAATAAATTAATAAATGGGCGAACCCCCAGCTGTGTTAACTTGGATCGGCCCAAACAGAATCGTTGGCCCATAAAATAGAACTTTTGAAACCCAAAAGGGCGCGCCACCTCATCATGCTATCGATCAAAGGCATGGTCAACAACAAAATCACATAATACTTAGTCTACGAGATGATAATCTATTCTACTTAATAAAATTCATACATTTACCTAAGAAAATTAATCAAGTAAAAAAAAAACTTACGAGATTTTGAAGTTTAAACTAAGTTTCTAAGTGTCTAGTAGCATACACGATAAGAAATAAGTCGAAAAATCTTAATCTTTACAAAGAAATAAAATAATAAAAATTAGGTTTTGGAGCCATTTGATAGAAACAAATATATATACATATAGAGTGAAAGAGTAACTAAAAGAGAAACTTTGCAAAATTAGGAATTGTTCAAAATATTTGGCGCAATAAAAAAAAAAAAGGAATTGTTCAAAATACAAAAGATTATTATATTTATACTAATAACTAAAACATGCACTAAGAAAACACACATTTAATGAAAAAACTCGCGGGGCAATCAAGAAAATTTGTTGGAGTCGTGAGTATGGCTTTGGCATTGCACAGAAGGTATGAAAACTCGCAGGATCGACAAGGAAATTTGTAGGGCGCGAGTTGCGGCTTGACCGAGCGATAGTTAGTACGACTCCTTGCGAGCTTTGCGAGTATATCGGAGTAGGGCGCTAGTTTCCGATAGAGGCGGGCCTTGTGCAAGGAACTCACTTGTGCACCGAAACTTTTGGCGCAGAAGCTCGCCATGTGAGAGGACAAAAACTCGCTGGCTGGATGAAAAAACTCTTTGGGGTCACGATTTATAGGGGCATGTGTGGCAGAAACTCGCGTGGTAGGCAAAACATCCCGTTGGCATAACGAGTATGAGCAGGCGGATGGGTTGAGGTGCAGCAAACTCGCGAGCTCTACTAAAATTTCCATGCGGGGCGCGATTTTTAGCGAACATGTGACGAGGTTTGCGTGCAAGAAGGAAAAGCTACTCGCGGACGATGCGAATGTGATTTTGTAGCGTGGTTTCCAGGCCCTGTCTGAATCTCCGCCTACGAATATTTTGAGCGGCCCGAACATCAGTTCGCGTGCCGTGGCCCTTGAATTTACTGACATGGACGAACTTTCTGACACTTTCTTGTGGATTTTTCATTGACTTTCCAAGTGTATTTTCATAAAAAATACAAAATGAAAAAAAGAAATAAAATGCACAAAAGACCAAAATACCAAAAAAAGTACGTAAGCGAGAGAACTGACTAAATAGACTGGGAAAAGCTCAAAATAAGCTAAAACGAACATGAATAATTATTAATAATCACACAAAATAACAATAAGAACATACAAAATAGTTATATTAATATTCTGCCACATTAAGTGGCAGGTGTTTGTGGGTATATTGAAAGCTCGGCTTTTTTGTCAACAACATTCCCATTTGAATGAGAACCATATTTGATTAAACAAGTTCTATGTTTAGTTGTTTTGCACGAGGATGAATGGTTCATCGCATATAGACATAAGATCATTTACCAGTAACGTGTGAAATATAAATGTTAGTTCACAACCTAGATGGAAATTGAACAAGTCATCGAAATGGTAGTAGTGTGAACGATGCAAGTTGGTCTTGGCTGATTAGTTAAACTAGTTTATTTGTGTAATGAATGGATACCATAGAGGAGCAGTCCACTTTATACTGATCATCCTAAATGAACTAGGCCTCAGCTAATTGTTGCGTTATCTTAAACTGTAACATATAAACTAACACAAGTATGTAGTAGTTACTACTTTGATTCATTATGGTGAGGTTCATTCAGTCTGGATCAATAACCAGTTAACTTGGGTCGTAATGCTGCATGAATGGTGTGTTGTTCAAATATTTACGGTCATCATGTGCCTCGGTTTGATGATATTCCCGAAGTCAGCCCAGAAGAATTATTATGTTAACTTGTATATGGATTAAATTTCAATATAATAATATGTTTGAGTGGTGCTAGCTTTGGCACACGTGATCAATTGATTTGATTGTCAGTAATCGAATTTATTGGTGGACATTATATTTTAAACATGGGGAGAAACGGTACGCCCGACTCTTGAACTCCTTATGCAACTTCTGCAGACTGACAGGCTTGCCACAATACCGCTATAGAAAATCGACGATGTAGGAGAGGAGGTGCTGAGTTTGGGTCAAACTCAGATAATCCAAAAGCAAGTTTGGTCACCACTACATATTCATGGATGGAGAAACATATGAAATGGTGACCACTGCGGAACCACATCTCCTTTGGATTCTGACCGGCACGAGTCACCTCTCGCGAAAAGACCTCATGTAGTGCCTTTTGTGAGAACTTAGCATAATAAGGAAACAAGAGGGACCGACCAAAGACCAAGGTCTGATAATCGTCCTGTGTCCCATCAACGTTGGTCACATCTTTCTTAATTCCAGAAAGAATGAAATTTTGGTCGTAGGAGTTGATCTTCAAACCCTCATATCTATAGATCAACTTCCGTTTCTTGTACGACCACAAACCCTAATTATCAAATAAAAAAAAAAAAAACTATTTCTTCATATTTCTTAACTATCATAAGTAGATAAGAATAAATTAAATAATATACCTCTCAAGATGCCGGACCCGTGCTCGTAGCCACTGAGTTGTCCACCGTCGAACCCATGCCAGCAGCCGCTAAGTCACTCGCCATCGGACCAATGCCGATAGCTGCTGCTCAGTGTATTGCCACCGTTGATTCTCATTCCAACACTACAAGCATAAAATCTTCAACAATTTCATAATCATTCATGTCGTTCATTTTTTTAACAGTTTATTTAGTTCTAACTATGCGAAGTAATAGTGCAAGATTGAAAGCCAACTTTTCGCCACTCTCTTTTTTGAATTTGTTCTGTAGGGATATGTGTGTAATAACAGTGTAAATATAAAAGTAAAGTAAAAAGTAAACGCTCACGTCTGAAAGTGAAACGCTTCCACTAATTTTTTGATATTAAATAATAACTATGCAACAAATAAGCGTCAAAATAATTTTCGAGTATTAATCGCAGAGTACGAATTTACCAAAAAAAATCACGTTTAACATATATGCGATTAATTATGCGTTGATATTTCGCCTAATAATCGCATATATAATAAACAAAATAAGACCGTTGTTCTGAGGATCACAATTCAGATGTATCCCTTATGCAATTTAATACCAAATTCAAATTAAACATTTACATTGATTAGTAAATTCGTATGTCATGACGTCACAGTTTTTCAGTTCTAACCATGCGAAGTATGTCGCAAGCTTGAAAACCAATTTTTTGCCATTTTTTCTTATTTGTTTTGTTATTTAGGGATGTTTGTGTAACGATGTAAAAATAACAGTAAAGCAACCTTTGGCATCTGAGAGAGTGAATAAACAGTTGTCGAGTAATAATCGTAGAGTACGAATTTAACAAAAATAAAATTTCAAAAATATTATCGCTTTACGCAGTTTAATCGCAGAATTTTATTTACAATTTTAAAAATATTATTACTCTGCGATACATTCTGACGCAAAAATAGTTGCATAATGGATCACATTTTTTGAGGAAATCACATCTTTCGAACAGTCGTTTCTGCGATTCAATTTTTGTTTCTCTTTGGCATTTGGTATAGTACTTCGATTTTTTTTGTATTTAATAATAACTATGTGAGGAATACGCGTCATAACAACTTTCGTGTAATAACCGAATATTAATTACGAACTTATCTAATATAATATAAATTAATATGCGATTAATCTTTACTTATTATGTTTTGCTTACTAATCGCATATTTTAATGATTAGCATTTTCTGAAGAAAACCCATCATTCGAACAATTCTTTCTGCATGCCTTGGAACATTATATATCAATAAGTACCACATAAACGATAATGAGGCAACTTAAATTGTTAGATACAACATGAATCAAGTCCAAAAAATTTCATCCACATCCCTTCCACTATGTATAACATAAAAAAAAATAGTGAATGCATTTTTTTTTTTAATTGTTAAGATCGTCTACCTTTGCATCCCGGTTGCAAGTTCATGTTATTAATTTCATGGTTCTCGTCTTTGATCAGTGTGTGCTTGATCAGTTCATACAAGTCGTCGTCCCTATCGTTTTTCATGAGGTTCCTCCGGTTGTTGATCTCGTTCGGACCCAAGATCCTCCGCCTCATTGCTTTGATTTAAATCATCTATCTTTGCATCCTGATAGAAAGTTCATGTTATTAATTTTATGGTTCTCGTATTAAATCAACATAGGCTCGATCAGTTCATACAAGTCATCGCCCCTATCATTTTTCATCAGGTTCCTCCCGTTGTTGATCTCAGTCAGGCTCACGTTCCTCCCCCTCATTGCTTTGAGGGGATTTCCATTATTAAAACCTTTGGGTATTCAAGATGTTGAAAACCTTATTCACATGGTGCTGGTACAAGTTTCCTAAGAGGACAACATGTGTCGAGATAAACCATCAAGGTCAGCCGAGACCACAAGTTGTCTCTGCGATTGGGGAAATATGGCAGATCTGCAAAAATAATAACTGATATGTCTAGTGATGCCCTGGGACACTTTGGTATAATGTCATCCAATAGCTATCTGCAGAAAAGGAAAAAGTATTAATCCAACATCCGTCGATCTATGCAAAATACCACAAGGACGCGATTACGCACACCCGTCAGTGAAGCCCAACGACCTCGTTCACCGACACGCAAGTTCAGTGCCATTCCAGCCGCTCCATGATGGTCCGCAATTGGCAGAATTGTTCATACAATTCTCTGCATATATATTCATCGCCTATATGTCGCCTAATTTTACGCTCTTCGCCAATTAACTTCTCATATAGTTTGCGTATTTTATTGTATAATGGGATCACACTTGCTCATTCTGTTCACATTTATATCACAGAGTTTATCGTATAATTAATTCAATCTTGCTTAATTAAATTCGTGTCTCTGTAGCATAATAATTTATCAGTTAGTGAGATCGCAATTGCTTGATTATCTTCGTCTATTCGTCGCTTATTTTATCGCATAATTATTTCACACTTTATCAATTAACTTCTCCTATCTTTCACGTAGTTATAGCATAATGACATTGCACTAGCTCGATTATCTTCGTCCTTCTGTCGCATAGTGTATCGCATGATTATTTCACATTATCAATTATCTTCGTCGGTATTCGCGTATTTTATCGCATAATGACATCACACTAGCTCGATTATCTTCGTTTGTTTGTCGCGTAATTTATCGCACAATGAGATATCGATTTCTCGATTATCTTCACATGTATGTCGCTTAGTTGATAGCATAACTAATCCGCACTTGATCAATTAAGTTCGCCTGACTATTGCATACTTTATTGCATTCGCACTTGCTCAATGAACTTCGCATGTCTATTGCATAGTTAATCGCATAAGTAACTCACACTTGCTCAATTAACTTTGCTTGTCAGTTGCATGCTTTATCGCATAATTTGTTTTCGTCTTTACTCAATGAGCTTCGCTAGCGTGTCGCATATCATATTGTATAAATATTTCACGCTTTATAAAATATTTTCGCTTGTCTGTCGCATAGTTTATCGCATAACATATTCACACTTTATCAATTATTTTCATATTTCTGTCGAATAGTTTATCGCATAACTATTTCGCACTTTATCAGTTAACTTCGCATGTCTGTTGTCTGTTGCATAGCTTATCGAATAATCTTTTCGCACTTTGTCAATTATTTTCGCCTGTCTGTCATACAGCTTATCGTATAATTTATTTCACACTTTATGGGGTGAAAAATTTAACTTATTTTTTAATTTTATAACTATTTTATTGTCATAATGAGTATTTTATTAAAAAAGTTATATTAAATCTACCTTTCAATAACTTATATCATTTTTTTATTTTGTATCTTCATAAAGATAATGCTCTCCTACCCACGGTGGGTACATGTTAATATGCCTACCGCTTACGTAGCATGCACACATTGGTAATGTTAATATGTTAAAAAAAATACATCACCAATGTGTGCATGGCACATAAACGATGGACATATTAACATGTGTCTACCGTGGGTAGGGGAGCATTCCTCTCTTGTTTATTACCACAATGAGA